ATCGTTTTAGTCGTGCTCATGCTTTTTAATGATTTAACAGAAGAAATAGTTTTGTGACATTATCACACGTTTTGCCTTTTTTTTCCCGTTCGTGATCGTTGTTAAAATTTATAATGAGCATTTCTTAGATGAGAATTATTTAGTTAAATAAATCAGCTTCAACAAGGTTCGTGTTTGAAACATTAAAAAAGAATTATTCCTTAACTTGTAAAGGTTAGACAAATAAAATACCTACTTTATTTATGATATGCAGTGGGTAAAAAAAGCGTTGACGTTGAGAATTTTCGCAAAATGCTTATTTTAGATAATTATATTTTTAGCTAACTTAAATAATCAGTGTAACTATGCATGTGATTTTTTACTTGGAAATACATACCTTATAAAAAAATATACTCATCAATGCGATAAATACTTTATATTAAATTAATTAATTAAACGTAAGAAGTTTTTTTGTTTGTTTTTAACTAGTCTATAAAAATGATTAATTTTAATTTCGTTTTTTTTTTAAAATTCTGATTTTTTATTTTTTTATTTTCACATTTTGGACAGGAAATAATATCCATTTAGACGACTAGAATCAAGCAATAAGTTATTTATATGCCATAGAAATGTTCTACAGACGGGCANACATTTTAAAAATACGATAATTTTCCTCATTCTCCGAAATTTATATATATACAGTGGTGGCCAAAAGTGTGGACATTTTTTGAAGGTTTCATGTTTTTCAACGTTGTGTGCTTGTTTATATATCAACAAACGTTTATATATCAAATTGAAGGTAATTTAATGTAGAATTTAATAATAAATACAGTATTACAATATCTGTATTACAAAAAAAAGTTATGCAACTAATAGTAAGATCTATCTTAGAGTTGCATTTTCTTAAAGTGATACTTACACAATCAATACTTAGTAGGATAACCCTTATTTTTTAAGACAGCTTCACAGTGTCTTTTCATCGAGTGAACGAGTGTTTGGAGTTCATCTTTCGTAATCACATGTTGCCAAGAATCAATTATAGCTTCAATAAGTTGTCTTTTATTGGATGGACGTTTTTTTCGTACAAGAATTTTCAAACTTCGTCACAAATGTTCAATTGGATTGAGATCAGGGCTGTTTCCTGGCCATGGTAATATATCTATGCCTTTATTTTGAAACCATGCTTTGCATACTTTTGCTGTGTGGCATGGAGCTGAGTCCTGCTGAAAAATAAATGGTGCGTTGTTGGGGAAGAGATCCCTGACGGAGGGTATCAATTTTGGTTACAGGACTGTTTCGATGTATTTTTTGGCATTCAATATGCAAAATCAGGTCGGAAAAAATGCACAAGTGCTACTGCCGACAGAAAAATTAAACGGCTATGCCTTCAAGATAGAAAAATTTCATCAGATGCCATTAGATGTGAAATGAATGCAGCGGGTATTGCAGTAAATTGAAGAGCAATAAGAGGAAGGTTATTTGGACTACAAGCTAGAATTCCAAGGAAAAAGCCATATTTAAATCAAAAACAGAGCGAAAAACGAGCTAAGTGGGCAAAGGAACACATTAAATGGTCAGAAAATCAATGGAAGCAAGTAATCTGGAGCGATGAGAGTAAAATATCGCTCTTTGGTAGTGATGGTAGAAAATAAGTGAGACGTGGAGTAGGTGAAGCACTTCACCCTTATTGCATTGATTGCATTGAAGCAACTGCAAAAAACCCAACAAATGTCATGATTTGGGCATGTATGTCTGCAGATGGTGTGGGCCGAATTCAAGTGATTGATGGCATCCTGAATTCCAAAAAATACATCGAAACTGCCCAGAAACCAAAATTGATACCTTCCATCAGGGATCTCTTCCCCAACAAAGCACCATTCATTTCTCAGCAGGATTCAGCTCCATACCACAAAGCAAAAGTATGCAAAGCATGGTTTCAAAATAAAGGTATAGATATATTACCATGGCCAGGAAACAGCCCCGATCTCAATCCAATTGAAAATTTGTGGTGACGTTTGAAAATTCTTGTACGCAAAAAACGTCCATCCAGTAAAAGACAACTTATTGAAGCTATAATTGATTCTTGGCAACATGTGATTACGAAAGATGAACTCCAAACACTCGTTCACTCGATGAAAAGACACTGTGAAGCTGTCTTAAAAAATAAGGGTTACCCTACTAAGTATTGATTGTGTAAGTATCACTTTAAAAAAATGCAAATCTAAGATAGATCTTACTATTAGTTGCGTAACTTTTTTTGTAATACAGATATTGTAATGCTGTATTTTATTAAATTCTACATTAAATTACCCACAATTTGATACATAAACGTTTGTATTTAAGTGAAAATTAATATACTCTACAAGCACACAAAGTTGAAAAACATGACACTTTCAAAAAATGTCCGCACTTTTGGCCACCACTGTATATATATATATATATAAAACTAAACTACACTAAACTACCCATAGAAGGCCAAGGCCTACTGTGCCCATCTCAGTTTTCTTGACCTTGGGCTCTGGGGTGCAGGAGCAGATGTTCCGGTCAGGTGGTCAGCCGAACGTGGATCCTCGGTACTCATTTATCGACCCACTGAAGGGATGAAAGGCTGAGTCAACCTTGCCCGATATATATATAATACAATTTATTTACACCTTGAAGTATAATCGGGTGCCTGTCTGCATTTCCAATCGATCTATTGAGCTTAATTTTATTGAGTTTTTTTATTTATTGAGTTTAATGTTCATAGAGTTTATCTTTATTATTTTTTCTCATCGATATTCTTAAAATTTTTTTTTCATTCATGGATAGATTTTTGCTCTCCCTCTTTATGCACACACTAGCTTAATACTCGAACCTGAAGTTTTCTAAATTCACCTGAAAAATTCTGTTTCCTTTCTTATAATTTGTGCACTTTTACTTCGAATTTTCAGAGTTCAGTATATATTCTCATCTGACCTAGTGTTGGTTTCTTTTGTTTTTTCTATGGGCAGTCGAGGGCATGGTTGTTTGCGGTAATTTACCTTCTTCTAATTTTCTAATTTACTTCTAATTTCTCACTCTTTTTTTTTAATCATATTTATTCTTTTTTTTAATGTTACTTGTGACATCAAGTCAATGAAATGAAAATATCGAGAGAGATAAATTTTCCTACAACTTGTAAATAATCATGATTTAAGGCGAAAAAAAGTGAAAAATGTACTTAAAATAGCAATAGCTTACAAACAATTAAAAATTAAAAAAAAAAAAGTCTCACGTTTCGTATATAAATGACAATGGCCACTTTCAGCGCGTCAAATTTCAACTCTGTAATTGAATTTCTGCCCACTGCAGTGTAGTTCATATGGTTATTTCTTACTATAAGTTTAACAGTTAATTCTAGCTTCATGGAGGACTTTTTGATGGTACTAAACCGCATTTGCGTTACACAGAAAAGAAAACTTCGAATATCTCTCACAGTCACCCCGACGGCAAGGATATTCTTACTCATGGTCCGTCTATTACTAAGGATATTTTACATCAATACTGTGGTCGGTGTGAGCCGGAAAGTATAATTCGTATTGACCAGCCACCTCCGGAACCTGAACCTAGCTTACCTACTTGGAAGGTGAACTCTCTATTCTCTGAGCCGCTCACTTCTAACGATAACAACTGTTACGATTAATTCTATGTTGTAATACAGTACACAGAGTGTGTTATTTTATTTTATTATTTTTATTTTAAAGGCCTCTTGTATCGCTGAAGTAAGACAAGATATTAAAATTTAAAGAAAAGGGAAAAAACAAGCTATGTGTTGTGTTAAAAGAAATTATAGTTGTTGTTTGTTAACAGAGTTATATGATTAATTGAGATTCACTATTTAAAATTGCTTTTGTAAAAATAATTTTTAGGTCTCTTTATTATAATAGCCCAATGTTACGAGTGCTTTATCGCTTAGGAACTGTCAGTGAGTTATTATTATAATTTTTTTTTGACGCTGTTTAAGTTTGGCGTAGTATAGTCGATTTCGGCTCTTGAGTTTTTAAATGCTCTAATTCAATTCACTCTTTTTGCGTTTCACCTTGTAATGAAAAGAAGGAAAATTTCCAAATCTATGACAGTTTTATAGATGAAATGAATTTTTTTTCTCTCCCTATTGCAATATTTAACCCTTTATAACTATAAACAGTTAACGACCTGCATTTTTTTATTTTTTTAAATGGAAGGAAAAAGTTATCGTTTGAATTCCACGTTCTATCTTTTATCACGCTTGAATGAGGAAATGCATCTTGTACTCTTGTATAACATCAGATTTTATAACAACTTCTTATCTTTATTTACACCCTTGTTTTCAGTTGCTAAGATAAGTTCATAGACATTAGTCACTGTTTATTTTTTATGTCGTGTTTAGATGTTTTGAAGTTGTTTGAAAAACCAATTGAAGAAAAACAGAAGGAGTTATAGAAAGATAATTTTATGTGTACTGATTACAGGGTTACGGCTGTCATTAAAAAATTTAATATTTTTTTAAATTTACACTAACATTAAAAGATATTTAATTTTTTACGATGTATTCCGACATTAATGTTGAAAGACATGGCTTTAAAAAATTTCTCTGAAATAAATGGAAATTTTTTTTAAATAAATTAAATTCAGTGGTAACCACAAATGTATTAAAGTATCAAGTTTTATCTCTTTTTCAGTTACCAATTTTTAAAACTTTTAAGGCCCGTGAGAATCACGTGCTTTAAGAAACAAGATATTTATTTTTACCTAATTTAAAAATTATTCGCAAAATTCGTTAACAGATTGCACAGATAATAAGAAACATTACAAACAGTGTTTTTACCCATTGGCAATATGGTTCTTGGTTTGGATTTGCACGCTATTCAATTGTGTTCAAGAGTAATAGTAAGCAGTGCACATGTGTCGTCATTGCATGCGTTGCTATGGCGACCGGTGCTCTTTTTCTTTTCACTAGCAGGCAATTTAGTTTAATAATAATTTAAAGTATTTTTATATTCTTTTTATTATTAATGTATAATTACTGGCTTCATGGTGATTTCAGTATAAATATGAATGCTGAAAAAGAAAAAGTATTTTGTGACGTCTTGAAACACGTACATAGGCAGGATTGGAAAACCAATCCGACGACAAACATTAATTGAGAGTGTTTTTGCAACCCGATGTTACGATGAGAAAGTGGAATAATTTTGTTTGAATTTGCATTTTATGCTGAGTGAAAATGGTGCAATTTAATGTATTGGAAGAATTATGAATTATTTTATTCCAACTTAAAAAAAGAAAAATAATATTCAGATTTAAATATCTAATCTCTAAGCTGAATTCTTTTAAAAAAGATATAATCTAAATGCCACGTGTATAAGAGAATGGTTGTAATAAAATAATTTTGTTGAAACATCCATTGTGTGTTGACCAAAGATGAAACGATTTAAATGTGATCGCAAATACACTTATCATTAATTTTACCTCTTTCTACATTTGAAAGGTATTGCATCAAACCTATTTGTACAATTTCTCAACTAGTTGGAAACTAATAAAACGTAATTAGAAAATGTTCCTTTTCCAGGAATATAATTTTTATCTTTACAGAAAATCACCGATCGGAAGTGGATTAATCTGCAGATAACTGCATTCAATCACAAAACGTGGATTTTGTCCACATGCTTTAAATACTATAGTTATCATGAGAAAACGTTGACAATACACGTGTTTTTCGATGACGTATGTTTTAAATAATGAAACGAAAAGTGTTTGATATGTGGGTATTAGTTTACGTTTGATTTAGCCTGGTATTATTCTGATTTCGTGAGTGTATGCTGCATATTTACGTAATCGAGAATAATATTTGTTACCTTACCAGAATTTAAGGGTGAAGTGATTGTGTGCGAAGTTGGACTTTCACTAGTTTATTACACAAGACAAGAAAAGAGGTATTCTTTCATTTGTTATTTATGTTTTCTTTTATTTAGGTTCAATTATTTGTATGCTAAGTTGGAAATAAATAATGTAGTTTACTTTTTTTTTATTTCAAAATAAAGTTGTTTTGATATGTCATTTTGTGAAGTACTGAGGTTCAGTCCGCAATGGCGGCTTGAAGTCTATCCAATTTCAGTTCAGTGGTTACCGACTTGTCTGGTAAATAAAGGCTGTATTGCGCACAATGGTGGCCGCATTGCCATAATCACTGGCCCACAACGAGCTATTGCAGGAATTTTTTAATTTTTTCTAAAATCATTTGGAATTAAAAGTAGCCTACACAAGACAAATTTTAATTATAAGTTTTTATGTAGTTATCAGGGGTAAAAATGCCTTCTCTTCATAATTATTGAAAATGGAAAAGGGGGAATTAAGCTGCTTTTAAATTAATAGTTATTTCTGCTGTATGAATAGAATAAGTCAAATATACGATTCTTTGTAATGGTATAAATTTTAATATTTTTCGAAGATAATTTTACTTTCATCTTCGATGTAATTGCCCGATACTATGATTCTATTACCTCTTCTGCACGCCACTGGAAAAATGCTTCATTTTCACCGTTATTAAGTGAGCAGCAAATTTTCACGATATAGTGATTCAAAATGCTGATATAATGGTTCAACATTGAACTGAATTTCCTGCACTTATTTTAAAGGCATGTTTTAATCTGCCCAATCAACGAACTTAAATATCCAATAATATCAGAGTTACTAAAAACTTGAAAAGCATGTAAAAGAATACGATTTTAAGATTATTAATGTAATTTACTCGTAAGCTTCAAATTGTGAATTCTTCGATTGTTTCTAAACAATCACACAGATTGTAACACAGATTTCAAACAGATTGTTTCTAAACAACACAGAAAAATAAAATTTCAGAAATATGATTTTTTTTATTTACTTGTTTTTTTTGGGGGTGATAACGCAAATGATAAAAATGTAGTTATCTTGCAATATTTTTCTAAATATAGCCATCTCCTATAGTTTGCGAATTATTATTTATCCGAATTCATGAAAACAAAAATATTGCGAGAAAGTCTGTCTTTGTATCTAATTTCGTAACTTAATAACTAGCACCAACTGGCAGATACAAGTTGCGTACCTGCTAACTCTTAGCAGATGATTTTATTTTCATATTTAAAGTGGTAGTAAGTATATGCTATTTTTTCTTTTATAAACTTAATTTTTAGATTATTTCGGTCACCACTATTCTTACAAAAATTAAGCACATATATTAATATGCGTTACTATCATGGTTGTTAACTTAAGTTTTCTCAAATACAACGTATTTGTTTGCTTAAAATTGAAGTTTTAATTCCATTTTAATACCACTGGGAAAAATGATAATGGAAGGGATTAAAAGTTGGCAGGTATGAAGTTGCATACTTCGAAGCAATTAGATGTCAAACGTTAATTAGGGTAATTAGTTGTCTTTTTTATTGTTTATTGTACAGAATGTGTTTTAATGTCACTTAATGAATTTTTTTTGCTGTAAAAAAGATTATGAGTTTGCCATTTAAATTAAGGTGTGTACAGAAATGCATAGTTCCGTCTTCCTATCTATTTATATTGTATTTTTTCTTCTTTTAAGTGATAAGAACAGAGATAATCTTAAAAATTGTATGGTTAAGGAACCCATTATAAATGTTTACCGTCTGTTGAAAAACGTTATTTCTCCCCAAGTTTAATTTTACTTTCTTTTTCTAATTGATGTCTATCAATATTTTACTATCATTATGTTACGAATTAGTAAAAATCAGAGGATTGTATTCAAATGCCCATTAAGACGAAGGGATTGGTGCATATTTTAAGTTTCAGATGTCAAAAAGTTCATGTTTTTTATTCTAAAGAATACAATACAGATATTTCTGGCACTCGGTTTCTGTCCAATTTCTATTCATGAATCTATAATTTATTTATTTATTGTTTTGTTAATGCCTTAATTAGATACTTTCAAGTGATGTCACATGTCGACAAACATTCGAGAGACGTTTCTTGCAGGTATCTAATAAAATCTGATCGGAAAATTAATTCAGTGATTCTAACCCAAGCTGTTACGTTAACACACCATGCACAACCATGTGTGTTTTTGCACAACGCCGTGACAAGAGTCCAATCTACTTACAAAATAAATAATATTTATTAAAAAATATAGCACTATTAAAAAATTTTGTTTTCAGTAATAAATAATGTTTTTGCAAAATAATTGGCATTTAATCATAATTTGTGTTAATTTCCAACAACTATTTTCCGTAGTGAGTTGCGATACTTTCTAATTCAATTTTTTGCGAAAGATACGAGTGAAAAAGGTGTGTTGTTTCATTGTTTTCTTTACTTGCTATCTATGCCTGTATTTTTTTATCCGTATTTTTTTTATATTTGTATCTTTCCACGTAATATGTTTCGTTAAGTCAGGCAATTGTTTTGAAGAAATGTTGATTTATAATTTCAATAATAAGTTAAATTGTTTCAGAAATGAAATTTATTTCTTCTGATACGAAAATCAGGGACGCGTTTAAAATTGTAAAATTCTGATTCATTAGCATAAGTTCGTGAACAAATTTTTATTATTGAAACACTTTTACATGTTATTTAAATTGTAAAGGAATACATTTTCTTTAACTGTTATTAGAATAAAATTTTTACGAGATTCTAAAATTTTCCAAATTTTAAACATGAAATTACAATCATTAAAGAAATTCTGTAAAATAAGAAAAAAAAAACATAATAAAAAAATAAGAAAATAGGAGAATTAAGAACCTCACAGAATTATGCTAATGAATCAGAGTTTTACCATTTTCAACGCGTCTTTGATTTTTGTTACTTAAGAAACAAATTTCATTATTGAAACGTTGTTACCTGTTATTGAAATAGCATAAAAACATCTTTTCTACTATAGCCAGAATAAAACTGTATAAAATTTTAAAACTTTACAAATTTTAAACACGAAATTGCAATCAATTAAAAAAATTCTGCAAAAGAAAACGAATATAATGAAAAAATCAGAAAATATGTGGATTAAAAAACTTCTAAAAGACTTATGAAATTCTTATTCATTGGCATAAGTCTGTGAACAAATCAAAGACGAGTTCATTATTGAAACACTTTTACCTATTATTGAAATAGTTAAGAAAAAAATTTTCAACTATGACCAGAAAATGTTTTTGAAAAATTCTTTCACTTTACAAATTTTAAGCACGAAATTACAATTAATAAAAAAAAAATTCTCTAAACGAAAAAAAGTAGAATAAATTTTAAAATTTTGAGAACTTTATTTTTTCAATAGTTGAAAAAATGCTTCTTTACTATTTTAACTTTACTATTTATGTTTCAAATAAGGAAATATGTTTCTTGAGTACTGAAAATCAAAGACGCGTTGAAAATGGTAAAATTCTGATTCATTATAATAAATCTGTGAGGTTCTTGATCATTACATTTTCTTATTTTTTTATTCTACTAATTTTTGTTTAAAATTTTTTTTTTATTAATTGTAATTTTGTGTTTGAAATTTGTAAAATTTTATTCTGGTAATAGTTGAAAAAATGTTATTTTTTTACTATTTTAATATCATGTAAAAGTTTTTCAATAATACAATTTGTTTCTTAAGTAACGGAAATCGAAGACTAATTTCAAATGGTAAAATTCTGAATCATTAACATAAATCTGTGAGGTTCTTAATTTTAATAATTTCTTATTTTTTACTCTTTTTTTTTGTTTACAGATTTTTTTAATAGTTGTAATTTTGTATTTAAAATTTGTAAAATTTTAGAATTTTGTAAAATTTTATTCTGGTTGTTAAAAAAATTTACCATTACTAATTCAATGAAAGGTAAAATGAAATTGCTTCAATAATGAAATTTGTTTCTAAGGTAAGGAATATCAAAAGCGCAACGAAAATTATAATATTCTGATTCATTAGCATAAATAAGTCTGTGAAGTTCTTAATTCTTCTTTTTTTTTATTTTTTTATTTCACTCTTTTTGTTCACAGAATCTGCAGCAAATATCCTTCAGCACGACTGCTGGCTCTGCAGATCACCAAAGCATCTGCAGATCATTTTTCATCTCTTAAAAAACACATATTCATCTCTTAAAAAACACCACTTAAAATTATTTCTCATCTCTAATTTTTTTAAAAAAAGTATTACTGATTAGTAAAAAAAGTTACTTTAAAAAAAATTACTTACTAAGGGAAGAAAATAATGAAATTTTTTTTAATTCCTAAACTTACTCAATATCTCTGCATATGAAGCAAAAGAAAAGTGACGACTTAAGACAAGAAAAAATTAATAAATAAATTCTTGATATCTTGTATTAATTATATCTTCAATAACAAATAATATTTTTGCAAAATAATAGGCATTTCATAATAGTTTTTGTTAATTTCCTGTAACCATTTCCCGCAGTGAATTGCGATAAATTATGTTTCATTTCTTTGCCGAATCTGGGGGTGAAAAAGGTGTGTTGTTTCATTGCTTTCTTTCATTACTTTCTATCTATGCCCATATTTTTTAGATCTATAATTTTTATGCCTGTATCTTTTCGTGTAATATGCTTCGTTTATTCTAGTAATAATTGGGAAAGAATGTTTATTTATGATTTTAATAACAAGTAAAAGTGCTTCAAAACTGAAATTTATTTCTTCTGATACGAAAATCAGAGGCGCGTTTAAAATTGTAAAATTCTGAGTCATAAGTTAGTGCTCTCTTAATTCTCTTTTTATTTATTTTTTATTTTTTAGTCTACACTTTTCTGTTTACAGAAATTTTTTATTAGTTATAATTTTGTGATGAAAATTTTTAAAGTTTTAAAATTTTGTTCTGGTTATAGTTGAAAAGATGTTTCTTTACTATTTCAATAACAGGTAACTGTGAATAATGAAATTCGTTTTTTAAGTAACAAAAATCAAAGAGTCGTTGAAAATTGTAAAATTCTGATTTATCAGCATAAGTCTG